GGAGGACTTTATTAGTTATATTCGAACACAATAGGTCCCTTTTAAGGAGCAGTAGTACCGGGCATAGACTACTTATAACCTCAATTTTAGTATTCGGTATATACTACGTGCTATACCATTGAAAACAGCTAACTACACAGTATTACATCTATCGCAGAAGGTGCCTATAGCCGTGCTAAGCTATTCCTCAATCACCAGAGGCAGAACCTACTTACGCTCGTTAAGCGTCTCCTTCAAGCAATAAAGAACGAGTAGCAGGATATTAAGTATAAGGAGGCACAGATATTCGCCCGGCCGCAGAACCGGCATCTTCCGGAGCCCCTATTCAAGCTACTAATTCGGCGTATATTCCCGAAGGCGCTTAATCTGCTGGCCAATCAGCTACGGAAGCTCAGGACGAAGGACTACAACGAGCACTATTACTATAGCCAATTTAAACATACAATAGGCTTACCTTATGCCCATTCGCTGGAGCAGCTAACTGTTAATACAGCATAGACGATCCCTCTCGACGATATTCATCCATTTTAGCGTATCAAGACTCCAGCAGTTATAGATCCTATTACAACCCTAAACGACTTCATCCCTCACAAGCGCCGGGGCCGCCCACATACTAGCGATCAGACACCTGCTAGCACTACTACAAGCACACAGAGAGAACCTTCACAGTTTAAAATCGTGCAGCAGGCTAATCAGGCAACTCAGCAGACAGTAAAGCGTAGGAGGAAGGCCACAGCGAAGGCCAGTAACGCGTCTCTCAGCAAGAAGGTAGATAACCTACAGCAGATAATAACTCAATTTATACAATAGCAGCAACAACAACAACACGACGACGAGGAGGTAGTAGAGGAGACAACCAGGAAAGTTACACGCAAGAGAAAGCGTACTACAACTACCCCAGCACGCCCCCGGGCCAAGAAGCAACAGCAGCAGCAGCAGCAGGACGAGCCAATTACCGTCAACAGCAGCAGCAGCAGCAGTAGCAGCGAGGACAGCGAGGACGACTACAACACCATAGAGGAGGATAGAGATACTGCCTTCAGCAGTAGTACGGCACCCTCTGTAAATAGAGAGATGCCAGCACGTAAGGGTCGTAGCACGAGGAAGGCTCGCTACGGTGACTGAACACGTGATAGAGCGGGCAGGCAGAGGAGCGAGCAGCTAGTAGCAGAGGAGGACGCGGGAGCGCTCGCGGGCGCGAAAAAGCGACGTTTGTAACATGTAATAACTTTCCTCTTCGCGTGCCGCGCTGTGACAGTGAGGTTAGAGATATAGAATTTTTTGGTTGATTTTTGGTGCAAAATGAGGGGTGCTGGTTCCTGTTCCCCGCCCGCGCGTCCTCGCGCGGCGTCGCGCGAGCGACTGGCGCGGGCGGGTTGTGCCGAAGGCAACTTTCTGCCGGGTTATTACCTAATTAGGCAGGCGGTGGTGAGGGGGGGGGCTCTACAGCGAGAAGGGGGGGGCACGTTAACTGGAGCCCACTCCTAAAACCCATAAAAAGGCCTTAGCGGAGCCTTACAATCCCACCGAGGTATTAAAAAGCTAATATCACCGATATGTCTAGTACGCCGTTAAAGTCCGCCACGCAGGTCGGTACATTAGAATCGCTCAACAAAACAACTTTGGTTAGTTCAATACGACTATACACGCGCTAATTAAATTACAATGTAATTTATCTTAGGTAATTCATACTATTTTCTCTGCCAAGTCTGTGGCTGTTCGACCTGTGGCTGCCCTCAGCCTAACTATTCCAGACGGACACAGAATTCCCTGGGTGGAGGAACAAAGTCACTATTCCTCAGTCATCTAAATATAGTCGCTTGTAGAATTAGTCTCACCCCACTTCGTAAATTTTAAGTATAGACCATTACACACCCGATAGTAAAGAGGTAATTGTACTAGATAGCAGCTATATAGATACCAAATAACAGTGAATGAAAGTAAAGGTGAATTTTCAGTTAGAACAACAGCTACGAACCAGCCACCTGATTAGTATAACCTAAATTTAAGGCTTCGTGTATTTTCTCAAGTGGCAAATGGTAAAGT